ATGGTTCCTGGGATGGAGGGGTTGTCATAGGAGAAGAGGTTGAAATCTCTCAAATTGTTTTCTCTTGAAAAAAGAAGTTGAGGGGGGGGGGGATCTGATTGAGATGTTTAAGATTGTAAAGGGAATTGATAGTGTTGGGGTATCATCTTTTTTATATTTAACAATGAGAATAGTAGGGCTAGGGGACAAATATAAATTTTGGCAAGGTAGCAGTCATCTTCAGCTAAGACAGTTTTATTTTCTAACAGGGTGATTGGCCTTTGGAATGGGTTGCCTTCAGATGTTGTAGAGGCAGTAAATTTAAGTGAGTTTAAGAAAAAGCTTTAAGTATATGAATGAAAAAAGTTGGGTTTAAAAAGTAATTTGGAATAGCCGAGACGGACCAATAGGTCCCATGTTGTCCAAAAATATTGTTATGTTAAGTTTTGTGTTGGATGTTATTCTGGTATTAACTGGTTTTGAATGATATTCAAAGACATTGTTATGTTAGTTATTGAATAAATCAATACCATGTTAGTCAGTCATGACATTGATCACAAAATACAAATCTTCATGAGTATGACTGATGCCTTGTACTACTTGTACATATTTTCTTGATGGTAAACTATAATCTAACCTAAAATGGTACTCCTACTTTTAAAGTATATTTACAAAGTAAGGTTAAATAGAAGGTTGTTTATTTTCCAAAATAACTTTCCAATTTGTTTTTAGTAAGTGAATCAATGAATTTTGGAAAATAACTATTTCATGATTTGGTGGTTGAAAAACTTTTTTTTTGTCTTTTAATAGCCATTGTTAAACCTACTACGTGTTTTACATTGTGATGATAACTGTCAAACATGTCTCACGTATATTGCAAATGTTTCTAAAGGAACAAAAAATGGAACAGAGCAAGAGTCAAACCTGGAATCCCCCCCCCCCCTTTCTTGCAGGAAGCACAGATGTGAGATTGAGTCTCGCTGAATCTCGATTTTTACTTATTACTCTTTAAAAAAAAAAAAAAAATCGTAACGTTGCATGAAAGGGATACTGTTATAAAGGCCTTTTGATTGTATCATATAGGTTTCAAAGGATATTGCCAAAACCAGACACTCTGTTCCTGGTGTTGGATTAATTAGTCCACCTCCACATCACGATATTTACTCCATTGAGGATCTTGCAGAGGTAAGAAATTTAAACTAGATTTTTCTTCTTGAAATCACTTATTGTAAATTAGTATCGTTTTGTTAGTAAAAGATGTTATTCAGTTATACCAAGAAAAATTGTTACTGGGTGTTGAATAATATGGATGCATTTCTAAGTTATATTTAAAAAACTTAAATGAACTTGCACTGTAGGAAAACCAATTTATAATTAAAGAACTAATCCTAAAAGTTCTAAAATTATTTTTAATTTGAAATTTACTAAATTATTGACATAAATCTAAAAGTTGAAGTTAAAACATATAATCTGTAGGAAAAACGTTTGTACCTTACAATTTTAAGATTGAACTTTGTTGTAAGAAAACTATTTATGACTTAAAAAATGTAAGTTTAAAGAGGTAAATTTGAGACTGATCTATAGTGAAGTTATAATGTATGCCTTATAAATATGTGAACTTTTTAAATATTACGGAAGATTAATTAATTTTTTTTAAATGACTTACTGCAGTAGATGTAAGCAGTGGTATCATGAATTATGTCTTTAGTTCAAGTATTTGGTTTATGTTGAATTTTTTAAATTTCATCCCATCACATTTCCTGTCAGGTCAATTCCACCCCAGTTATAGCTTCATTGGACATTTCTGCCTTTAGTCTGGAAGCCATCATCCATCCATATATTAAAGTTTTTCAAGATGTGTGAATTAAAACTTCTCCATCATTTTACAGAAACGGGTTACAATGTAAATTTTGGTATTGAACAACAGCTAATGATCATGACTATTATGCTGAGCATGATTGACAGTTGAGGGTCAGCATAGTACCTAGAACATCATTCTTATAAATTGCAATTAGCCCTCAGTTTAAAGTGACTTTTCATATATCATTGTCATTTTTCAGCTTCTTGGAATTTTATCTGTTAAATAAGATAGTCTTTGGTAAGTGGTAAACATAAGAACATGGAGTTCACTACAGAGTTATTTCTGAAGCTTAAAGTAATGAACTTGGTCCTGTAAGTTGTATTTTGAGATTATCTTAATTACTATATTGGATATGTATAAAGATCTTCAATGGGAATATTAACCTTGTGATAATATTTACCAAAATATAACGTGTGTGTGTGTGTGTTAAATGTCCTATTTTGGAAGTGTTTTTTAGTTTAATTAACTAAGTATTTTAATATTCTTTCATTCAAAATAGTTTATTTAAAGTTCAATTTGTAATTTTGATATTTTAGTTAATCTATGATTTGAAGAGTGCCAATCCACAGGCAAGGATTTCTGTCAAACTGGTGTCTGAAGTTGGTGTTGGGATTGTTGCTTCTGGTGTAGCTAAGGTAAGAAAATATTGAATAGATAAATAGTAATACTTTTAAACTTAATAAAAGTCAGAATTTTTTATATCCATCTTGGTAAAAACGTGCCAAAAGTTTCATATGAAGTTAGAACTTGTAGTGTTTCTTATGTTAACTTAAGAATATACTTATAGATACACCAGAAATTCCACACATTAATAATAATAATTCGCTTTAACTCTTGTTATCATTATTATCAAATCAGTCTAGAAATCATGAAATATGATGGATAGCTATTATTAGGTAATATTATCTAATATAAGTGTTATAGTAGTAATTTAGTGTGGTGAAAATTTATACTAATGCTAACTTTAAATTTAGGGAAAAGCTGAGCATATCACTATTTCTGGACATGATGGTGGCACAGGAGCAAGTAGCTGGACAGGTATTAAAGGTGCAGGACTACCATGGGAGTTGGGAATAGCTGAAACTCATCAAACTTTGGTTCAGAATGATCTGAGGTCCAGAGTTGTATTACAGGTGGATGGACAAATTCGATCAGGTGAAGTTGGTCTTCATTCAACAGACATAATTTGAACATAATTTACTTTTCTTTAATAATTTATATTTCTTGTCATCTTTACCAGAATAAGTTGCTCTTTTTTTTTGTTTTTTTAAGATGAATTATTGCTATTTAATAAGGACATATGAGGAATTTGTTTATTCATTGGTACACTAAACATATAGCAAACAGAAATGTGAGACAATGGGGAAGGCCTAAGCACTTTTAAAGTGATGAATAAATCTTAGAGCTTGGAACAGTATCATTAAAATTGTGTAGTCAAATGTTATTTCTATCTAAGAGACCTGTACTAAATACTGATAACAAAAACATTAACAATATTTTAACACATATAAGCTTAGTTTTGTTAACATTATTCTGAGACAAGCTGAAAATTTCATTTTCAAGAAATGACTGGAATATTTTGTGTGAAACATTTTTCAGGTTTTGATGTGATGATAGCTGCACTGCTTGGAGCTGATGAATTTGGATTTTCTACAGCACCACTGATAGTATTAGGTTGTACAATGATGAGAAAATGTCATCTGAACACTTGTCCTGTTGGTATCGCTACACAAGTATGTAATGGAATTATACAGTAATATTGAAAGTATGTAATGTGTAGGTTATCACGATGATATAAACACATGAAGAAATAACTAAATGTATAAGAAGTAACATGAAAATTTTATATTCCAATATGGTCGTACTTTCGTTCACACAAAGCTATATCAATCTTCTTCTGTCCTCTAAGTATTGCTAAAAACTTTTCACGATCAGCACACCAGTCTATATATCCCATTAGTTTCATGACATTTCTGAACATTTACATATCATGTGACTACTCTCCTCCAATAGTATTGTGCCGCCTATATTAGTATAGATAGCTCCCTCTGCTATTCCTGCCCAATCCTCACTTTTCTTGTTTAGATGAGTGTTTTTTTTTTTCTTTTTTTGCATGTGGCTACTGTTTATGAACATGCTTATTTGCCATTTCTATTTTTATTTATTTTTTTTGTACTTATTTCTTGTTACTGAATTATAAGATATCTTAGTATGAATTTACAATAAATGTATCTACTACGGAAATTCCCGTTACAGTCAGAAATGTTACTGGCACAACTTCCCAGGAATCGGGCTAGACTTTATCTGCATAGGAGGTACAGGCCTTCATTTTCAGTGAGCTGGCTAGATTCATATGTTTGGCCGGCAGTTTCTTCTTCTTTTCAACGTGACAATGTTTCTAAGAAGAATACAATCAATGAGAAGATAAGTTGGACTCTCTTTTTCCGGCATTTTCTTATTTTGGTCTGTCGCACTCTATGCCTCTTCAGTGTTTTCACCTTCCACCAGTTGCCGTGCCTCCATGTCATTCACTTTGGTGGAGAATTGTTCTTCTTCTCCTTTCTTCATAATGCTTCTAGCTCTCCCAGTTCACACCTGTTGCTTTGCCCTTATTTACACATGGTAGAATTAAGTATTTCGTGTTATCAGTGCTCGGACTTTGGTAAGCTAGATATTTGTGTCCCTAGTCATCTAAGTTACTTTATATGAAGTACAAGTTAGATATTGATTATTACTTGTTTTTTTTTGTTGTTGTTATTTTAGGTAAATTTAATTGTTTTGCATGTTCGTTAATATTGTGTACTTTGTAGACTCTGCAGATTTCATAGGTTTGTTAGTTCATTATGAATAAGTACCTTAACTAGACATGTTTAGATTGTTTGTAAGTTACATATCATTACTACTAGTAACATCTAATTCGTTGTTCTATTTGAGTAATTTTTTCCTCATTCTTAACTAAGTGCCTCATCATCCTATTTCTCCTCAGTGTAGGACTTAATCCTATAGAGATGACCTACTTCCATTGGAAGAAAATTATGCAACTCTCGGGAAATGTCTTTCAAAAATAAAACTAGTGAATGAAATTGTTTGAAATTTGACAAGAATGGTCCTAAAAGTATGTAGTTCAGAAAAATATTTTTTTTCTACTATTTATAATAAAAATTCGTTATTATTTCATAGTTATTTGCACTCAGACTCTTGATAGTTCACATGCAAGACGATTTTTATATGATGTCTAAAAATATTTTTTTTTATCTTAGTTTTTATATTTCATTTACATAATCTGTAGAACCTCGTAAATGAATATCAAAGTTTTTAAGGTAAATATTTATATTTTATTTACCATTTTCTCTACTATATTACTCACTCTGTGTATAATCATTAACATATAGTATAATGGAATGTTTAAATTAACAAATAAAAAATATTTACATACCTTTCAACTCTGTGTAGTAATTCACTAGAATAGTCGTCTTTTTTTGCATATGGGTAAATTCACGGCTTTATCTTTTAACTTATAATTTATTTTTAATTTTCCTTTCAAATTATGTGTCTTTATTTATCCCAATATGTCATTTGATGCCAGTAGGCCTTTATGAAGCAATTTCAGTAGACTCCCCGCAGAGACATGTTGCTGAAACAAGATAGCACTTATACACGCCATATTGCTTATGAAGCTTTCACAATCCAGACGAAAAGTTAAACCTAAAAAACCTCATTAAACCATTATAATATGATTTTAAAACAAAAATAATACATAATTCACTAAAATATAAAAGTAAGACCTATAACTCTAACTATAGCATACTTAGTTAACAAACTACTGTAAGTGCTATAGTTGATCAAGCAGACAACAATACTACAGGCTGTTACATCTATTTCAATATGAGAACTGCGTGCCAATTTCAATTTAACCGTTGGTGGAGTATAGTGTAAACTGAGTTCTTTCTAATGAATATATACACTTGTGTCAATTAGCTATGGCCAGGTACTTAAGGAGCTCGACGCTCAATCTGCGGGTCACTGATTCGAATCTCTGTCCCACCAAATGTACTTGCCCTTTCAGCCATGGGGGTATTGTAATGTGACAGTTAATCTAACTATTCTTTGGTAAAAGAGTAATTCCAAGAGTTGATGGCGGGTGGTGAAGACTAGCTGCCTTCCCTCTAGTTTTACACTGTTAAATTAGGGACGGCCATTGCAGATAGCCCTCGTGTAGCTTTGCACAAAATTCCAAACAAATAACTAGCTACATGTACATTGTGGATTTCAAGGCAAAGTATAGAAGGTGGGCATGGCAACTGTCAAGGGTTGGAAAACTTATTTCTATTTCCCAGTGAAAACAGATCTGAGACTTAAAAGGCCAACTAAACCTACATTGTCATCTAGACATCATCTACATTGTAGTTAAGAATAAACTGATCCTAAAGTCGAGATTTTTCATAGCGGGTGGATGAGGTGACACAAAAACTACAGTTTATGTATTTTTTGAAAGGTTTCCTTTGAAACAAAGTAATTAAAACTTAGATAACTTAAAAATTCAAATTATAATGTTAATTTCGTTGACATACTTGGATAGTAAAATTGTTTAATTGAATTTTGAATGTAACTCAGTATCACTCATAGAAATGAATTTAAAAATGGTGTCGTCCTGATAGGGTTAATCTTGTGTCTTTTGTAGTCTACGTTAATTTAGAGGTATTGTAAGTTTAATATTGACTTATTAATGTGTTTTCTAGGTAAATTTTCGTCAGTTTTCACATTCATTATTATTATATACTTTGTGGACTTGGTAAATTTGGATGGTTTGTCCATTTGATATTTATAAATACTTTGTTAACTAGGTATGTTTAGATAGTTTGTACATTACATATCAGTACAACTAGTAACATATAATTCATTGTTCTATCTGAATATATTTTTTTCTCATCATTATTAACTATGTGTTTTATCATCCTAATTTTTATCAGTGTAGGACTTAAATAGTTTTTCTTTTTACATCGTTAAAGTGATCATTTTGTCTGTGACTAACTATTGGATGGCATTGTTGAACACCTTCAATTTCTCCAGGTTTTGCTCATCTTTCCCTCCTTTTTTCCTCCTTTAGAGTCACACATCCTCCACGCTCCTCTTCTTTGCCTGATCAGGATCTCAGTGTGGTCCTTTATGGCTTTCCTGTTCTCCCTTTGAACCTGTGTCTTTCATGTACTATCTATCTCTTCCTCAAGACCTTTTTTTTTTTCTTCTCCTTGCTTGCAGATATCATCAATCAGATATTTCTGCCTTTCATGTTACCTGTTTCCTCTACAATTCCTCTTATGTCAAACTATGTCCCAACTGGTCCTTCCTACCTTGAAGGCCGGTTGGATTTCGCATCCAGTTCCTTAACTTTCATCTCCTACTGGTACTCCCATTCCCATCCTGATCAGCTTCATTGTCTGGTTCACTCCTTACGGTGTTATGTGACACATCCTGCCTCCTTTTGGAGTTCAAGTTCTCGACTTTTATTCCCTGGAACCCTTACATTTCCCATGATCTATCCCCAGTCACATTAACTGGTTAGGTTTATCGACTCATTAGGCTTGCATGTTCAGACTTATCCATGCACAGTTGCTGTCTCCATAACTTTTCTTCTTATCATATTCGTCATACCACCATATCTTTGGCTTCTTGCCTTTTCTGTCCATTGGAAGAGATTGTCCATGCTGGAATGTGAACTACTCCCAATACCTTTGTTGCTCATTATCAGCATGGTCTGGCTGTATGTTCCTTTGGTGAGTATCATCTCTCTCTCCTGTGGCAATTCTACACACATCCATTCACCATTGACTGGAGTAAGCTTTATCACGTATGTTTTTATTTTCGGCAACATAGTTTTAACTACTGATAATAGCATTCCACCCTGTGGTGGGTGTTGCCTTGTCAGATATGCTTCGTCTCAAACCCGCACTATTTACTGATTGTACTATAACACTCACTGTAGAGATGGGGAGTTTCTGCAAGAACATTGGTGGCATGTCCAGTGGTATATTTAGGTTTCTAGATATTGGTATGTTTCACTCAGTGGTGAACCACCACTCATCGACTTCATGAGTAAAGCAGAAGGGGATTTGTGCTCATCTCTACTGACCCTTTGATTTGAATAAATTGAGGTTGGTCTGCATTTCAAAATAGGGAATTGAAGACACCTACTGCACTTTTTCCGGTATGTCGTTTCTCCAGACTCCCCCACCGCCTTATTTACCCCCTTTTTCCTTCTAGTGGAACATGAATCCTTACTGTTTCGCAGTTTCCAGTTGCTGGGGGTGGTGGATCCTGGAGGCTTCCTCCTGAGTGAGTTTCAAAATTTAATTTACCATATCTACTCATGGTTATCCACTCGGTGAGAAGAGGACAAAGTGTTTTCCCTCCTTTCATTTCCCCTGAATGCTTTCCCAGGTGGACAGCTGTCCAAAGAAAATGGTTGGAGCATATCCAACCTACGCAGCATCCTCCTTGTGATACCAGGTTCTGGATGACATCACCCTGTTCCTATGGTTATGTGCAGTAGAGGCCCCTCTCCTTATTAATTCTAATTGCAGATTCTTCTTCTGCTCCTACGGGTTGAGTTTGGGGAACCTCATCTGCCTTGTAATGCCAGCTACAGGATGTACATGCACTGTTCTTGTGGTAGAGCAACAACTGGGTGTCTCTTCCTTCATTTATGTTTGAGTGATTTACGATTTCTGCTCGTAATATTGATTACAGATATTGCTCCACTCTTGTGGTTGAGTTGAGCAATGCCACAACCCCATAATGCTGGGTTCAGTTTGTTGATTACAGATATTGCTCCACTCTTGTGGTTGAGTTGAGCAATGCCACAACCCCATAATGCTGGGTTCAGTTTGTTGATTACAGATATTGCTCCATTCTTATGGTTGAGTTGAGCAATGCCACAACCCCATAATGCTTCTTGCTCCTACTGTGGTTTTGGGAGTTTATCTGGTTTTGGCTGAAAGCTAATTTCCTGTTCATCATTCCGGTTGCTTCATGTATGACATTCTGTTTACTTACGGTTAGGGTTGATGGGTATATATAACATACATTGCTGAGGACAAGTTATGGAACCTCATCTGTCTGGTTGAGGTTGTGTATGTACATAGCTAATTCAATTTATATTTTACTATGGTTGTACCTCTCAAAATGAATTGCAATTGTGCACATCCTTTTTTCTCTTCTCATATCTGATTTGTTTCCTACATCAAGAGCAAAGAGAGTATTTGTTCTAGAAGTAGTGTGGTATCCCACAAGAGTGCTTTGTTTTCATCTCTGAGTACACCTGTTCATTCTAGGTTGTCACTTTCCACTTGTTTTTTTTTATGTTGTATGCCTAAACTGGCTTCTCCACCTTTGCAATGTGGGATTCTAGTTTTGTTTAAGTGGAGGTAGGATCGTATTGGAAGTTAACATTTTTCTCACACTAAAAATGTATTTCTGATGGGTACTTATCTTTTCTCACACACACTTCCCACTCTCCCTCCCCACAGCTGGTGTTCTTCTTTTGGAGCCTGCCAATTCTCAAAGTGAGGATTGAGCGGGAATAGCAGGAGGAGCTAGCTGTTGCCAATATAGGTGGCACAATACTATTGGTGGAGAGTAGTTGCATGATATGTACATGTTCAGAAATGGTGTGAAATTGATGGGGTAATAGACTGGTGCGCTGATTGTGAATTTTTTTTAGCAATGCTTAGAGGGCAGAAGATTGAGATAGCTTTGTGTGAGAGGAGGTAAGTACATATGAGAAATACATTTTCAGTGTAAGAAAAATGTTAACTTCAAAACCACCCTAAACTTCATTTTACTTCAATGAGAAAATATATTAATCAAAAATAATATTCAGTGTTAAATTGGTACACAATTAAAAACATTTTATTTAGGCCTATCTATGGCCTTCAAAAAAACTTGACGACTCTAAATGTTTTGACGTTACAATGTTATCCTGTGTACCAGTTTAACGTTGAATATTATTTATGATTTTAACTTTATACACAAGTGCCAAAATACTATAACTATAATTAGAAAATATATGTTGTAACATGAAACTAATTATCATTGTTTTTGTAGTCATGTAATGCATTGCTTTTAAGTAATTATCGTTGTTTTTGTAGTCGTGTAATGCATTGCTTTTAAGTAATTATCGTTGTTTTTGTAGTCGTGTAATGCATTGCTTTTAAGTAATTATCGTTGTTTTTGTAGCCGTGTAGTGCATTGCTTTTAAGTAATTATCGTTGTTTTTATTATACTTTATTGTGGTGGTTGGAATGGTTAATGTTTTTATTGAAAGCTGAAAAATTGGTTTAAAAATTCCCAAATTTTTGTTAATTCTAAAAATGACATTTAGAATTTCCTCAAACTTAAAAATAAATACTTTATAGATATTAATGACCTGCACTAAAGAAAAAGAAATAGATATGCTGCATATACACCATACTTTTTGTTCTTTTAATTTCATAAAACGTGTGAATATCATCTTTATTTTAGGATCCTGAACTAAGAAAGAAATTTGAAGGAAAACCAGAGCATCTGATCAATTACCTCTTTTTATTGGCAGAAGAGGTAACTGTTTTTGTTTTATCAGCAAGATCAAAATCCCAATTAGAATAGATGTATTCAAACAACGTTTCTAAGAAATATGATTATACTTCTGTTATTGTTTTATTGCTATTTCACAATTATCTACAGTTGTGGTATACATTTATAACATTCATCTAGATGTTGATATTCCTTGACTGGGTTATTTACTTCAGTTGGATGCATTTTGAGATGCTTGTCTCACCCAGTATCTGTATTATACATACTAAGTACGTCATGCATGCACTCATTCAGCTTATAAACTGTCTTCTGTAACTTTTTTTATTTTTATAGAACAAGTGTGGGATAATCTTGAGGAATGGTAGTAGAAAAAAAAGTTCTTATAAATGAAGGTAATCTTCATGAATAATAATAATAATAATAATAACAAAGAATTATTGAACCAACAGTTTATAATCACAACATTAAGTGAAATGTTGATATTAAATATTGATATTTATCCATTTAGAACAGTATAGTGTCTGAAAGCCAGTAGTAGCAAGTTTTTGTGAAAATTTGTGACTTTTGTAACTAGGTTCGTGGCTATATGGCTAAAATGGGGATTAGGAAGTTCCAAGACTTGATTGGACGAACTGATCTTTTGAAGAGATATGAAAACTCTAAGAATCCAAAGGCAGGGCTACTAGATTTTACTCCAGTTCTTTTCAATGCCCTCAAACTTAGACCTGGTGTAAATATTGTAGGTGGCTCTGTCAGCCAGGACTTTAAACTTTACAAACGATTGGTAAGGATAATCAGTTTTCTTAACTTATTTACCAATGTCAACATACTGTAGTAAATTCTTTGAGACAGAAAATATAACAAATAAACTTTTCTGCTTTCTGTTAACTGTTATTTCTGAATGTAAGTAAAATTCGTTCATAGGTATTTTTTCAGTGATTCAGAAAACATGAAACAGTACTGCATGCAGCAAAAAGTATAATTAGGTTGAAATGCTTCAAATAAAACTTGATCATGTAATTTGCTAGGGTTTCTGAAGTTTAATGTTTTCGAAATTGTTTTGACTAAGTCAAGTGGTCTAAAAGTAAAATATAACAGTTTTCTTCAGCATTATTGATTATATATGAATACTTGGTAGGTAACTTTAGTATCAAAGATCTAAGGTATTTGATCTTCAATTATAAGGATTACAAATTACTGGAAGAAGCTGCTGATGTTCTGGAAGGCCAAGCAAAAACAGTTTCCATAAAGATGAATATTTGTAATGAAGATCGTTCGTTTGCAACAACACTTTCTTACCACATAGCTAAGTAATTATAATTTATATTATTTTCATTACAAAGTATTAAACACCAGAGGAAATTATTATTCTTTTGAGGCATCATGGGAAATCTTTTGAAATTCTTCATAATGCACATTTTTAAATATTTTTTTTTCTACTTATTTCTAAACTTTTTTGTAAAAATTTTATTATGTATTTTCTAGGAAGATTTTCGGAAGGAGTCGGTAGAAGATAATACACATCCCTCATAAGATATTATATATCTTCAGGTTGTTAAGTAGAAAATAATAGCATTCTTATGTTTTAAGAATTTGTTTTCTATTAATAATGAAACCATAAATAACGTACATATGATTTTTAACTCATATAATATACTTGGATATTGCATCATTAAAACCTTTATTTTTTCTACAGTTGTTTGTGTTGTTATTTTAACTAACTATCATTTGCTTGAACTTGAACATAATGTTTTCTATTGGATACAAAACAAGTAAAAACACAAATATCTGATCTTAATTTGTAGAAAGTTTGGAGAAGATGGTTTGCCTGCAGGAAGTATTAGAATAAAGCTTCAGGGTTCAGCTGGACAAAGTTTTTGTGCTTTCTTATCTCGTGGAATTACTGTGGAGTTGGAAGGTGATGCTAATGATTATGTTGGCAAGGTAATCTTCCTTTATCTAGATTATTAAAGTACAATTCTTGTTTATTTGTTTTCCAGTTATCTTATATTAGTTGTTTAACAACTATTCGAACAATAATGAAGCCAATGAATATTTAAACTTTTTCCCAGATAATTACTTTGACTACATTCATTTTGCCTAGTAAAAATATTTAAGAGTTTTTTTGTTTTTTAAGTTTGATTTCATGCTAAGCCACCTCTGGATATCTGTTAAGTTTATATTCAATAAAAAAATTTTTAAAGCTTCCCTCTTACGCATGTATACAATATTCCAGGGCTTATCTGGTGGAGAGATCATTGTATACCCACCTCGAGGTTTACCAGTGAATTTTAAATCTGAAGATAACATTATTGTTGGAAATGTGTGTTTATATGGTGCAACTTCTGGGAAAGCTTTCTTTCGAGGGATGGCAGCAGAACGATTTTGTGTTCGTAATTCTGGAGCAATTGCTGTTGTTGAGGTAAATAGCCGTTTTTTTTTTTCAAAATTAACTTATTTTATTTAAACCCCATGTTATTTGACTACTTATGCAAGATTTTCGAAATTGTTAACAAATTTACTAGTATTTATAATGCTTCTGAAACACAAGTAAGCAATAATTTTGCGGATATAATTTTTTGTTTATGTGCTACAGCGAAACAAGGTATGTGTTCGCAAAGAATTTTAGTGCTAAAGATTTTAATTCTCTTTAAATTAAAAAAATTGCTGTTTTATACAAGATATAACTTTTTTTGTTAATGGTTCTTCTTTATTATTATGACTTAATTGTAACTAGAAATTTGATTTACAAGCAGTTTCAGTTATCTGTGATATTTTTCATGTAAATGAAAAAAAATCTAAAGAAAAACCTTGAATTATAGATATCTTTATTCTACTCATTTATGGAGATATTCAAAGCTGTAATTTCTCTGGGTTTCTTAAACTAAAAACAAATTGGACTTTGCCACTAGGCTACCAATGTTTTTTAGGGGGTGTAAATATTTCAACATTTAATTAAGTAAAAAAAGTATATATCTTGGTTTGTGTGTAGGGTGTTGGAGATCATGGCTGTGAATATATGACTGGTGGAAAAGTAGTCATACTGGGGCCTACAGGCCGGAACTTTGCTGCTGGAATGTCTGGAGGCATTGCTTATGTTTTTGATAGGTAAAATATAATTTTAAAACGGGAGATTAAAACTTAGATTGTTTGGTATTAATGCAGTGTTTGTAGTCTAACACCATACATTCATAGAGTATTAGTTGATACATCTTAGTGGAAAGTAGTAGTAAGTAATTTTGACAATGATTAGTGATTGTCTGACAAGTTCCATTATATCGTACACATGAAAATATGTCCAACAGTGATTGTCTGACAAGTTCCCATTATATCGTACACATGAAAATATGTCCAACAGTGATTGTCTGACAAGTTCCCATTATATCGTACACATGAAAATATGTCCAACAGTGATTGTCTGACAAGTTCCCATTATATCGTACACATGAAAATATGTCCAACAGTGATTGTCTGACAAGATCCCATTATATCGTACACACGAAAATATGTCCAACAGTGATTGTCTGACAAGATCCCATTATATCGTACACATGAAAATATGTCCAACAGTGATTGTCTGACAAGTTTACTTCATTCTGACTTTGAATCTGTGAAAATGTAAACGCTGTTAAAAGATCTAACTCATTGTCCATGAAAGCCTAATTTTAGCACTTGAAGCATATCATTATTAACTTTAATTGCAGACAATTTTTCTCCTTAGTTAGCTCTGCATTCTTTTTGATTAAGTTATAGAAATAGTTATGGAAATGCACAGGTGATACATAAACAATAAGTATTACCAACTAAATGGTGAACTTATGAATGATACATTATCCCAGAAAATACAAAAGGAAAGTGAGCAAGTTGTACTTGTACTTGAGCCCTTTGCTTTATACAGAGCATTACACTTTGTTTTCGTGTTGCCGTACAGTTTAGCAATGTATGATTGTGAATGTTGTTCAAAATTCATCCGAGTTGTTTGGTCACCTTTTCAGTTTTCACATAAGCCTATACAGCCTCAAGAATATTCATATTGATACTTTGTACAGGTCAATTTATGGTTTTGAGTATTCTACTTGTCTGTTTATCTAAAAGATTGTTTCACCCGATTTGCTGCCTTCCTGGGATCAGAATCTGCTTGAACTTGCAACCAATTATGGTCCCATCAATTTTAGATAGATCATGGATACCATTGGCTGCGATACAACCCAAAACTTGCACTAATTCCCCATGATTCATCTATACAGAGCATATGTTTCCAGCTTTGCTCTTCTACCTTTTTATGTGGTTATCTCTTCTCAACATTGGTTTTAGCGGAGCTGCATGTGTGCTAATGTGTCACATTCACACTTATATTTACCATAAAGTCATTGTCAAGACATGCACTCAATAATCACTTATCTCATTAAAAAAAAAGTACCTTAAAATAATTAACATCACTTTTAGAGGATTTAACTTTTTACTTTGATCCTTTCTGTTATTAAAAGTGCCAGTTTCATGTACCCTCTTCAATTTCTTGCATATAATTCTTACTGAACCATAGTTTTGCCACAATTTTTCACATGGAGTCTCCTTGACCAGCCAAAACTTTGATTTCTAAATGCTTGTTATATGGTATTTATTATGGGAGCCATGATTGGAGTTCCTATCACTACTGGGCATAGAATGACTGCATGTATTCTTATAGGCCTTATAGTGTTGTACCACTTCCTTATTGGACAGATAATAACCAATCACAGTGTAAGTTATCAAAACCTTTCTGTGTGCTAATACATTTAATTTTCACTTAATAAAGGAACGGCATTTCTGTAGTATTTGCCTTTTACACTTTTCTTACCATTTTCATAATTTTTCTAATGCTGTATGTTTTAACTAGTCTTAAAATTTGATATGCAGATTTTTATTTTGAAGCAAAAGCAGTGAGATTCATTAAAAAAAAAGAAAAGAGCATCTTGATGAACCTTTTCCTACAATATTACTGGACCTGAATGGTCTTGTTTCTTTTCTCGTTCTTCTTGTTTCTTTTCTTTTCCCTCCAACAACTGCTGTAATTTCTCTTCTTGTTTCTCTTCTTTTCCCACCTTCTGTTGGGATTTTAGCTGTAAATCTGCAGTATAGTATGAATATGATGTAAATTTTATATTTTGTATCTTTGGTTGTATACATAACATTAATTAAAGCTAATTTTTTTGTTCTGAATGCCAACTTTGTAGATATGCAATTTTTCCTTCTCACTGTAACAAATTGATGGTGGACCTGATGCCTTTGGAACAACAGGAAGATCTGAATGATGTAGAAAATTTGATACGAGAGTTTCATGATAAAACAGGCTCTCATCTTGCTGCTGACATATTAAAGGAATGGCCTAGTATTGCAGTTAATTTTGTTAAGGTAAGTAGGTGTTATAGTACACTACTTCAGGACATTTGCATTGTTCCTGTTTACACAAATATAGTAAATATGTAGGAATTTAAACTACTGCCTATAGTTTTCCCAAAACTAATTACATTAATTTCGGATCTTATTTTATGAATCAAACCTCTCTTTTTTTAATAGGAAGGCTTTGCTCATCATCGGCCTATACAAGAATCTTAAAAAAATTAGAATGAACAATAACGTCACATTCTCCTAGGGCATATTCTAATATACTTGACTTAGTGGGTGATCTGAAGTTGGTGTGTTCTTTTATACATGTTAATACTTTCATTTTTGTAGAGCCAATATAACCTTGCTGACAGCAAAGACAAGTAAATTTATAAACTACAAGTTGTGATTGTAAACTTTGTATCTGGTCCTTAAATTTAAAAAAATAGAGTAGGCAAAAATTAGGTGTAAATTCACACTTTAGCTGTACGTGTGGATAATCTGTTTCGGCTGATTCTTGACAGCTAAAGAATATTTATCCATTAATGGTAAACTGATGATTAAATGATATTTAGACATTTCAATTGGATTTACGGTACAAAAACTTTGCTTATTCAAATAAATATGGAATTTTGTCCATCATATCACATGGAAACATATTTTTGTGTAAAGAATCCTTGATGTCACTAAACACTTCATGCATATCTTCAAGTGCTAATTATTTTATACACATAGTGAAGTAATAGTTTGACTAAACTTTCTTTAAAAACATTTGAGAAAAAGTAACTTTCAAAATTGAAATATAAACCTGTGAATGTTTTCTTATGATAAATTTCACTTTGGAATCCTCTATTTTACTAATCAAGGTATTGAAAACGGTAAGTTTATGGTCCTGCTGATGTTCTACACTAAACTTTATGCTATTGTGTTTACTATTTACTGGAAAGTTTAATCGAAGTTCTTGGAGATGAAGGTATCATCAATAGTAAAGAGGTTTAAGCTGTTGCAAGCAATATTCCAACTTTTGTTGTTCATGAATACATAAAGATAAGTAGGCTAAAGATGGCACAATTCTCAGGCTCTCATTGGTCAACCTAATCGTGTCTTACCATTCAGCAGAAGTTCATCAGTTTCAAAAATCAGCTTTTGGGATAGACATGTAACTGGAGTTGTCAATATTCATCAACTTGGCAATTAACTGTATTGTGTCTTCTAACTGTATATTTGTATATAGTGGTTCAATCAACTTGGCACTTAACTGTATTGTGTCTTCCAACTGTATATTTGTATGTAGTGGTTCAATCAACTTGGCACTTAACTGTATTGTGTCTTCCAACTGTATATTTGTATGTAGTGGTTCAATCAACTCGGCACTTAACTGTATTGTGTCTTCTAACTGTATATTTGTATATAGTGGTTCAATCAACTCGGCACTTAACTGTATTGTGTCTTCTAACTGTATAATACAAATATACAGTTGGAAGACACAATACAGTTAAGTGCCGAGTTGATTGAACCACTATATACAAAGTAGTGGTTCAATCAACTCGGCACTTAACTGTATTGTGTCTTCTAACTGTATATTTGTATATAGTGGTTCAGTGCACATGACTGTTGAACTTGTTGTTGAATTTCAAATATCTTTCAGATTATATTCAGTTGAGGTAAATGTTTTCAAAAAGTCAACTAGAGAACTAGCCAAAGCATGATTATAAGTTCCAATGTTTTATACAATGTTTGTTGTGTGGCAATCCATAAAATAAACCAGAATAACTTCCTGATTGTCTAATGTTTAAGTAGTTTTTCATGTAGTTAGTTCTTTGTGAAATATTTGGTGTAAAGCTATAAAATGTAAAACTCTGCATGTAGAATTTAATTTTGGTACTCTTAACATTCTTCATGTATATTGCACATTATTAGAATACTTGAAATTAAAAGATACAAATTGTGTGTTAATTAATCTCTTAATTTTCTGTTTTTATTTCTTCATTACAGATAAAAAAAAAAAAATCCTTAGTATAGGTTTGATATGTTAAACATTTCCTGTGCTAAGTATTCATTATTTCATATATTTTAGATTGTTTTTTATTATTTGTTTTTATTCCAAAGGTTTTCCCCAAAGATTACCAGAGAGCTTTGAAACAAATGTCTTTGGAAGCTCAAGAAAAACTTCAAGTTAATGGAGACATAATCAGTACCGATCACAATTATATCATGAACGGCAATGTAACACCAACTAGCAATAGCAGCCACTCAAAGATTAAAGACATTGAAGATTCTGTACCTGATGCACCAAAAGTGAAGATACACCCGCAGAAGTTAGATAAACTTCGGTATAGTAACTTTCACCATACTTGGTATTCTCTAAGTACACTATTCAGATTAGGAATAATAGTTTAGATATTGCTGTATTTCTCTTATTGAACTCATTTTGATGACTGGAAGCTTTATTCAGTATATATAATTTTTTATGTTAATATTGCAGGGACCTTTGTGTTGCAAAAACTTCAGGACTATAAATTTTCTTGTTATTGTGTTTCTCTCCTGTGAACGCACACGCACTATTTCAGTTATAGTTCTTGACTATCAATTGACCTCTTAACAAGTGGATAAAGTGTCTTGATAACTTGACCGTTATGTTAATTAACATGCATCTAATCTTCTATTTACATAATTTGTTTTGTTGCAGTGGTTTTATGATGTACGAACGTGACACCGTGTTTTATCGATCTCCTGAGAAACGAATGAAGGACTGGAAAGAAATATATAACCACCATGATGTAAGGAAAACTCTCAAAGTACAAGCAGCAAGGTAACAAGGAAAACTTTAACTACCACTGTGTTAGATCTCAAAATACAAGCAGCAAGGTAAACAAGGAAAACTTTAACTGCCACTGTGTTAGATCTCAAAGTACAAGCAGCAAGGTAACAAGGAAAACTTTAACTGCCACTGTGTTAGATCTCAAAGTACAAGCAGCAAGGTAACAAGGAAAACTTTAACTGCCACTGTGTTAGATCTTAAAATACAAGCAGCAAGGTAAACAAGGAAAACTTTAACTACCACTGTGTTAGATCTCAAAATACAAGCAGCAAGGTAACAAGGAAAACTTTAACTGCCACTAAAGTGTGAACATTAAGATCATGTTATTTGAAAAGCAGCTTAAGTATTGGTTACATAAATATTCAATTGGTTTCAGCTTGCTTGAACTTTTGTGAATTCTTTATTGCTATTGTGTTGTAAATATTAAAATTTTGACTACTGTTCTTATACAGTAAAAAAAAAAAAGTCCTGATTTCACATGATCATTAATCAATCCTTGTCTTAACTAAAACAAATAATTCAATTTGTGAAATGACAATACTTGCAAATTGATTGCAATTCTTATTGTTTTAAAATCACCATTGAGACTTGAAATATTATGATAAAAAAAAAGGTATTTTAATATTTATGAATTGAATTGTTTTTAGTGCAGTTAAAGACAATGCCTGTTCCATTGCTAAGTTATAAAAATGAAAGATCAAACCAAAGCCTTGATACTTCAGTGCTCTGATACAATCCCTGGATTTTAATCAACCATTGACAATATGCGTTTTTATAAATATCAGCAGTGAATATTTGTAAAGAAGCATTGCATATTAAGGAAACTACTTTTAAACATTTATTATATAGGCATGAGAATAAGCCTTTAAACTGATTACTGTTTATTTTAAACATTCTGACTGCAACATTTTACTCATTATAATGAATTGACAGAACTGATTATATATCTTAAAACAACTTCAGTAATAGTAGAAAAATCTACATTTAGTTTATGTTCTATCACGTTTTTAAAGATATTGATTATATACAGGTGCATGGACTGTGGTGTTCCCTTCTGTCAGTCAAGTCATGGGTGTCCTCTGGGAAATCTCATACCCAAGTGGAATGAACTTGTTTTCCAGGTAGGAAAAGCAACGTATTACTGAAATAGAAAGATTTTTATTATTATTAGTATTGCTGGAGGAAGCAGTTTTGGAGTGGCCAGGCCATTGCCATGGAATGAACTTGTTTTCCAGGTAGGAAAAGCAACGTATTACTGAAATAGAAAGATTTTTATTATTATTAGTATTGCTGGGAGGAAACAGTTTTGGAGTGGCCAGGCCATTGCCACAGCTAAACAATGTGTGCAAAGCACAATATTGGCATGCTAGGCATGACATTTTTAGGGGATGTTGTTGGGCATGCCCCTCCCCATTAAATTTTTGAAAATTTAATGCTATGAGGTTGAATCTTAAGTCATTTTAACTACAAATACTGCATACACATTGTAATGTATTGAATTAAGAGAACCAAGTTTTAATACATAAGTTGTAGTTACACATACCATGAAAAAGTGGTCAGGCCATGGTTTTACTGCTTCATGTGGTCCTGATTAGTATAATAATACACAAATTATGTATAATCACAAGAGCATTTGTGGAAAAATACATAAGGCAGAAAAATGCCTCACCTTTACATTTAAAAAAAAACAAAAAATTTGTAAGCATGAAGAAAGTCGGGTTTTACAGAAATTAATCAAAGATTGGTTTAAATACTGAATTTTAACATAGACTAAACATAGTCTGTTGGTTATTTCAGAATGATATGGCCCTAATGTAATAGTTGGAGTTCTTAAAGTGCTTTACAGTCACGTGCTATTGGTTTAACCTTTAGCCCAATTGATAGAGCACTCTTCTAGTGTGTTGGAGGTCGTGGCTTTAAACCAAAGTCAATAAAATAATAAATTTGATATTATTACAGTTAAATAAACTATATTATTTTTGTATCCCTGCAGTGGTTCACTTTCCCAAAGCATTCTTTGAAAACTCTGTTAACTAATGAAATGAAACAATAAAACAAAGTATTTATCTTTACAATATTAAAACAGAAATCAGTTTCCTCGTGTAGTTTTTCCTTCGTGTAATTTATAAATTTTATTAATTTCAAGTCAGTTTCATGCTTTGCATATTACTAGATGTTTGGCATTTTGTGTTTGAGTGCATGTGTGTTTGCACTGTACATTTATTTTTTTTTCTCTAGGATAATTGGCAGCAAGCACTCTACCAGCTTCTTCAAACCAATAACTTTCCAGAGTTTACTGGCCGGGTATGCCCTGCTCCATGTGAGGTGAGTTATGAGAAGCTTTGATAATGTGGTTTTCAAATACACTTACTTTTAAACCTGGCTATTAGAAATATCTCCAAAATGGAAATTTCAGAGGCGATCTATCACCTGACCAACGAATGACAGAAACTGCTCTCTACTTTCATACATTAGATGCAGTTTTACATCTGTTTCTTTTATAGGTAGACCATGTGTTATCTCTGAGAGGTGACACAGAACAATAGATAGCTAAAGCAAACGTTACTTAATGAGATTCTTGACCATGTATTATGTGAAGACTACACATGCCTAGAATAAATACGTTTTTAAAAACATTATTACATCAAGATAAGAAAGTAGAAAATATATGGTATGCCAGCATATTAAAGACCCCTGAAGTGATCAGTTTGACTTTCTAGTGTTCTTTTCATGCTCTCTTAAAAAGAACTGAAGTTATTGAAGCTATAGTGACAGGGCAGCAGCTTAGAAAGTCAGCAACTTGATGGTATTTTAACATTTATGTAGTTAATACCATGTATGAATATTGTATGGATCTCGTCTTATGTTTTAAGACAATTAAAAGGTCTGAAAATTTTGAGTGCATCGTTATTTATGAAGTTAGGAGATTTGTTAGAATGTTGCTGTATGTTGTACAGTCAACTCCAGAGGCAAGATACTTACACTCTTTGTTGAAAGTTGATGACTTAGTTTTTCAGTAGCATCAATCAAATATAGGAGTTATTGATGCCCTACCTCTCAAGACTTGTGCATCCAGATGCAGATGAAGGGAAATGTGGGGTGGGGGGAGAACTGCATGACTTTATTATCATTCACACAAAGGAACGCTACATTGTCAAAACATCTTGTGAATGCCGTGCTGTTACAAGTTTATCTGTTTGAAAACTGCAACAACAGTTTTCATATGCAGGAATTAACTAAAACGTTGCAGACGTATCCAATGATGAACAAAGTCTGCACACCAAACTCTTCAATTATGGTAAACAAGAGTTTCATTATTCAGTTTGTGGCCTATAAATTCTTTTCAATATATATCTTGAAAGACTGTTCAATTACTGTGTGTACTAATCACAACACACATGACTACAGCTGAATTGTAAAGATGTTTTTCCAAAATCAAAGAATTTAACCCTTCTTGAGAAATGCAATGCTACAGAATTGACTTGACACATTGGTGATGAAAAAAGCTGATCCAGAATGTACCAGGTTGCAATAAACCTTCATTGAGAAATTTGCTGCTCTTAAGGATTACAGGGCAAAAATTACCGTATACATAGGCGAGTGGTTCTGATTTACAATCTTGTTTTCTTCAGTTTATGTTTGTTTCTTCTCAACAGTACAAGCTGCCATTGCACGGATGTGTAATTAGTTCATGGTGTGGTTTGTTTCTGAAGTTGATAAGCATGTACAACCTACTGATTTGTATTGTTGTTTTTCAGTCATTCTTGATCTTTATCTCATTAAAGCAATGAGATTAAGATGATGTCTGGTTTCTCTATACATGTTTTAATATTGACATAGGTTCTAATGGTAGCCTTTCTCTCTATGTCAGGGAGCCTGTGTGCTTGGCATCCACACACCACCAGTAACAATAAAGAGTATTGAGTGTGCTATCATTGACCATGCTTTCCAGAAGAATTGGATTCAACCCCAACCACCTCTCTTCAGAACTGGCAAAAAAGTAGCTATTGTTGGTAGTGGGCCATCTGGCCTTGCAGCTGCTGCTCAGTTGAATAAGGTCAGTTTATTTTTATGTATTTTAAGTGTCATTCTACTTTTATTAAATAGGAAAACCCAATTTTATGTTCTGAAACAAACTAAATATCTAAAAAGTAAAACATTATAGTATTTGTTAATGATACATTAAAGAAAGTTGCCAGTAATCTAATGGTTAAAACTGGTCTGATTATCACACTTTGGTGGTAAAGTACTGATGCAGAAGTCATGGATTTAGTTCTTTATAATGTAAATTACAGAAATCATGTATGTTGGCTAAATGAACGCTACCTATAAACTACACTTTTGGAACAAAATATGAGAACAAAGACTAGGAAACTAGTCTTGAGATTTTCATGTGTCCTCTTAGTCCCATTCAGGAAACTAAAGGGAAATCAACCCACACAGCTTAGGTGATATCTGATCATGAAATTCTCTTGTTGTTAAGAAACAGTTTAGCTTGAAGTGGCGTTCAGAGGTGTTTAAGTTCAGTGCACTTTCAACAGTTTTTATCTTAAGTAATTCTATATATATAGATGTGTGTGTGTGTGTGTGTACGTGTTTGGCTGACTTTCAGATTACAGGGTTGTAAAAAGTCTCTATGGAGAGATAATGAATTTGTTTATATCTTAGTGTTGTTGTTTTTTTATCCAAAAGCAATAACTAACATGTGACTTAAACATCTTGCTTAATATGAGTGTGTCTGTCTTAAAATTATGTATGAAGAATGTGTGAAAAAGAAACTCCTCAAACGACTGCTGGAATTTGGAAATGGAATGCAATTGTAGAATTAATGTTCTAGCAGTTATGAATATAAATAATGTTTTTGTTCTAAGTATGCCAGTAATGACTGAAAGTACATAGACTGTACGTACACCCTATGTAATGAAAGAAGAAACTGAAACAATCCCATCAGTACCCCTAGTGGCTACCCCAATAACTTATTTATATTTAGCTAGCACTGAAGCTATGAAATCTATACATTTTAAAGTAAAATAACTTTTTGACACATCCAGGATCATTAGTAGTTGATTAAACCATATTTTACAGGTCCAAATACAAAAGCCTATGAGGAGTTAGAGTAAACACAAACTTCTCTCAAATTATAGTAGGTTTTTTTTCTAAATTTTTTTTTTTTTTTCCGTTTCACAAATGTAAACTTTTTCACACAGTTTGTATGGAACAATAAAAAATTTCTTCTATTTTTCTTGTTTGGTTTTAAATCAGGTTTTTAATGGGTACTGTATGGAATATTTGTAAATGAAAGAAAATTTTGTTTTAGGAATCTCTGTGGGTTAATTTTGAATGGTAGTCCAGGCAGAGTAATTTTTTTTCTTATTTTCATTCATGTATTGTTTAAAAAAACATGCTTTTCTAGCTTTTTGGTGATAATTTTTGATTAATTTAATGGCATATTGTAAATTCTTTAAAACAGACATTATGTTTTGAATTTCTTGATTCAATGTTGACTGAAGGCTCTTAGTAACATAGAGGCTGCAATAGATATTTAAAACATTTTAAATATTTGTACGAGAAGATTTGTTCTAATATTTTGTTCCAAAAAACTTGACTTATTTTTTTAAATTTTCTACGATTTGCCCTTTTTTTTGTCAAATATTAGTTACTTTTATACCCTTGCCTTTGTTATTGTATGCTTTCAAGTGTTTTTGCTGTTGTGTGTTGGTGACTACTCTGTCTCTCTGGTGCCTATGTCAATGTATGTTATAATGTAATACCATGTTTTTTTAAATTGGCAACAGTAGTTACACTGATGTTTTGTTTATAGTGTTAGTAAGCTTATTCTAAATATGAAAATGTAATATTGAGACTTTTTATTTTCAGGCTGGACACTTGGTTACTGTGTATGAACGAAATAACCAAATTGGAGGCTTGTTACAGTATGGAATCCCTACTATGAAATTGGAAAAAAAGGTGTATATATATGTAAAAAAAAATGTAGTGAACAAGTTTACATTTATCTATATTTAAAAAGAAAATTATAACAACATTGGGAGTATACTAAAATGGGCTGAAAATCAATAATAAAAAAAGTTTTCATATTGTGAGTTTAATTAAAATTAAAAGGTTTAATTAAACTCATGCTGGCTATTTGAATACAGATATTTTACACGAACTTAGAATACAACAGTTCTTGTGATGTAAGATTTCACTTTGTTATTGTTTATGAGTTTAATGTGTTTTTCTAGTTAAATTCGATGATGAGGAACCCACTTTAAGACTAATAATGCTTGGAGACTGCTTGGACGGGTAATTAAGACAAACTTTAATATAAGTTTAACATAACAGCAAATGTGCTTGATGATGACAAAACCTTGTCGAAACGTTGTACATTTGCTGTTATGTTAAACTTATATTAAAGTTTTTCTTCATTACCCATTCAAGCAGTCTCCAAACATTATTAGGTACCAGTTAATTCCAGACATTTACTTTAGTTTAAACTTGGTTTATTTTTAGTGTTTGGATCTCTATCAGTTTTTGTACCTGGTTTTAATGCAAGAAAAAATCTTTTTGATAAACTATATACCATAGAAAGTGTTGTATCTCATCTTTTCATCAGTAAAGTTAAGTGCCAGTGTTTTTTTTTCTGAAATTTAATTCCTAAATTAATTAGTCATGTACATGACTAAAATGAATAGGTATTAATATATTTCAATAAAATTTAAACTGAATTAATTTGTTTGTATCAAAAGTATAATTCACAGATATATCATTGTTTTAACATCAACATACTAAATTTGCTGAACACGTTGTAAAGTCTAGCAAGTACCATGCATTTGTTAATTTAGATGCAATGTTTATAAACAACCACTTTTGTACATATTATACAGTTTGGATGGTATATTTTTATTCCATGTATATTATTGATCAATAAATTTAAGTATATTGAGCTATTAACATTTGGCAATTACATAAACGTCTGTACCGATGACACCCTCAGCAACTGAAGTTTAATATCTATGAAAACATGCTGACTAATATAGTTATAGTGTATAACCCCATCTGCTAGAAATTCAACTGTTTTGACAATGCAATTTTTCAATAATTGTTTTTTTGGTTAGGTTGTACAACGAAGAGTGGACTTGATGTGTGCAGAAGGAATTACTTTTATTACTAACACCGATGTTGGAAAAGATGTATCACAAGAAGATCTTTTGGAGCAAAATGATGCTTTATTGCTGACTGTTGGGTCTACTTGGCCGAGAGATCTTCCAATTCCTGGTATGTATTTTACTTTAAAATTGAAGAGCTTTCATTTGTTCAGTACAGGTAAACATGCTATAAGGTGTCATTTTATAATGGAAATTTGGAGTTATTTGATTTATTTTCTAACACCAGAATTGCTATAACGTGCTGCACGACTTGGAGTTATGCAGATTTTAAATGCAAAAAACTGTATAAATATAAAAATGGTGAGAAACAAACGGCAATTATCCTGCGAAACAATCGTGCCAATCCTGTGAGAAAATTTATGTAGGTGAAACCAGAAGAAGCACTGACACAAGAAAGAAAAAGATATAAAATATCAAAATAATGTAATTTTTCTTCATATGAGAGAGACTGGCCATCAAATCAATTGGAAATCAACAAGAATTTTATGCGAAACAGATAAATACATGAAAAGAAGAATCGTCGAAAGTTGCTTAATCGAAAGCCTACCCAACTTCAACACCTCCCAAGGTCACTTTAAGCTAAATGACCTCCAGTGTCCATAAGGGAATTACAAGAACAGCGGTCACATAAACATTTACTGATCAGTTTTTTTCATGCCAGAAGACAGCCAACATCAGACATAAGAGGATACATGAATGTGTCGAAACTAGTTTCTCTGATTTACCTTCTGACAGTTTGTTCCATTTGCTTTGGTTTTTTCACTAATTTCTACATGTGATATTGTGTTTCTCTTATTATTTTTTTACCAGTCTATTTGTTGTTGTTGCCTTGTGACACGTATACACTTTCTCCAAACATTTTTATTACAATTTTTATTAGTTACAATGAGTTCAAAAGGGGAAATGAGAAACTACTGCAGTGGTGTGAAAAAACAGTGGAAAGCACTTTCCATTGATGTAAAAAGGAAAGTTTTGAAGAAATTTGATGCAGGTTAAAAAGTGATGAACTGATTTCGAAACTTTAAAAATACATTGCCACAATTAACAATGGAGGTTGTTGGGGTTGCCCAGAATTCTGGCTTCAAAGAAGTGAAGGGGAGCTGACATAGAAGAACTGCTAGCCGGTCATTCTCAAGACTTGACTAATAATGAATTAATGCAAATTGATGGAGATTGGGCAGCAGATAAATCAGACGGCAATCCTGACGAAGGTGATGACAAACCAAAGGTCATAACTTTAAAAGAATATCAAACTGTTTTTCGCTTGCTGATGACCTTAGCAAAATGGTTTCAGACGTGGACCCCAACATGGAAAGGAGCACTTCATTCAACAGAAAATTGGAGGAATTATTATGCCGCTACAAATAAATTTATCGAGAAACAAAAAGGAATGTTAAGCAAGCAACATTGGACTCCTTCTTTAAAAAAAGTAACAAAAGTTATCAGAAGATGTTAGGGTAAAAAAAGTCCATTTTTAATAAGCAAGTTTTTAAAAAATTTTGTATTAATTTGTCTTCAAATTAAACGTCTTGCTCGTAACATTTGTTTCTTTACATTAATATGTATCAATATGTGTTGTAAATGTGGTTTATATCATTAATAAAATTGACTTTAAGGGAAAATAATTGTACAGGAATGCATTTCTGACATGTAACATTGTTTCTATGAGAAAATCTGCATATTATAACGTGCCATTTTTTAGGAATGCATTCCGCGTGTTATAGCAGCTATACCTGAACTTGTTTAGCTCAAAGACTGTTAACTATTTCTGTTCTGTCCTTATGAAAAATGTTTTGAAGCATTTAGTTTTTATTAGTTTAAAATCAATTTCTTTTTTTATAATATATGTTTGTTGGATATACATGACTGTTTCATTTCAATTTTAAGTTTGATGTGAATATTATGATTTACATAGTGCAAGTGTTATATTTGGTTATTTTAGAAGCAATAATCTATTTCAAATTTGTTTATATAACTGTTCAAATATCACCTGTTGTGTGGTTAGTTTTTGTGAATTGATGTCATGTTACCTGAACCTTCTGAATTTTTCTCATTCCTTTAAGTAAGTATTATTGCATCATGTATATAATAGGGTGTGGAATGTTCGAGACTGCTGTCGTGTGTGTGTCCATGTATGTATGCGGGTTGTTAAGTAAAATAAAGTTACTGAGATATAATAGTCAAATAGATGAAGACTGAGTGTTTATGAGTAGCTGTAAAGAGTGTATAGTGTTTTTTTTTTAAGTGAACTTATCACCAATTGTATTGTAAAAAGAGAATAGGGAAGAGTAATTTGTCTTGTCAATTGTGTTTTAATGTAACTGAACCAGCCTGTAGACCTTTGATGAGAACAGACAATTATTTAAAGTGCTGGATGTAACTGTGGTGATTAACTGTGTAACACATATGTCAATTGTGTCTTAATGTAACTGAACCAGTCTGTAGACTTTTGATGAGAAGAGACAATTATTTAAAGTGCTGGATGTAACTGTGGTGATTAACTGTGTAAAACACATGTATATATGTTTGACTTATTTTAATATATTACTTTAAAACAAGTGGACTGTGTGCTGTTTGTTTATTGTTGAAATTTATTGCCAACAAGTCAGAGACACCTACTGTAAAGAATCCTGCCCATCCACAAATAAATAGATAAATAAATATATATATATGTATGTGTGTGTGTGTGTGTGTGTGTGTGTGTGTGTGTGAAGGATTTTGTTTTGGTGCGAAGCTAAACAATAGAATATTTTAGACTATTTGTGCTCTGTCCACCATAGGAAGTTAAACTCTGGATTTTAGCATTGTGAGTTTGTAAACTTACCACTAATCTATAGTTAAGGAGAAGTACTTGCAAAGAAAAGAATGTACGCAGCTCATATGTCTGCAAAAACTTTACTTGTGTTCTCTGGAAAATTTGCACGTTCTTTAAAGTTCTATTAAAAAATTGCAATAAATTATTAAAAGTTTTATAAGATAATATTTGAGGCTAATGAATAATACGGCCTTCTACGGTTCATCACATTGTTGAGGCTAATGAATAATACGGCCTTCTACGGTTCATCACATTGTTGAGGCTAATGAATAATACGGCCTTCTACGGTTCATCACATAGTTGAGGCTAATGAATAATACGGCCTTCTACGGTTCATCACATAGTTGAGGCTAATGAATAATACGGCCTTCTACGGTTCATCACATAGTTGAGGCTAATGAATAATACGGCCTTCTACGGTTCATCACATAGTTGAGGCTAATGAATAATACGGCCTTCTACGGTTCATCACATTGTTGAGGCTAATGAATAATACGGCCTTCTACGGTTCATCACATTGTTGAGGCTAATGAATAATACGGCCTTCTACGGTTCATCACTAAATTATCTCTCCTGACCTTTTCACATTGATTTCTTTAAGCTTTACAACTTAAGTTCAATTCAAATGGCCTGTTTGTCTTTTAAACAACAGCAATATGATGAAACAATGCATTTTAATCATTATAAGTAATATATTTTTAACATTAATTTATTTATGTATGTCCTTTACTATGTTATGTATATATTTTGAATTCTGATCTGTGTAATTTGCTTGCTTCGATCACAAGTTCATTATAATTGTTAAATAACTAAGCTTCGATGTATGCCTAATACTAATTATAAACCTAGCATATAATAGGTTTTTACTCAAAAATGGTAATATTTGCCATTCATAGTTAGATTTCTTTTGCATATATTTGTTAATTGACCAACAAAACTTTTGTTTGTTGTACACAGACAAAACTATTGAATTGAAGTGTCCATTTATCTTTGCATTGATAGTCATTGTACGATCAGTACAGTTACCACATGATAGCAATGTAAGAACTAATTAATATAACACTGAACTATGTGAATACAACCTGATCAACCAATACGTGAAACAGCAGTGCCATCAGTTAAGAAATATTTATATTTAACTTATTAATATGAAAGTATTAGTATTAAGTATAGTTTAACACTCAGTATTAAAACTATTAATCATTTATGGAGATTGGTTGCTGAATATCACTTAAATATGTTATAGAATTTTGTTTTATACCTATTACGTTTATTTTCTACTTCAGGAAGACATCTTGAAGGTATTCACTTTGCTATGAGCTTCTTAGAGACTTGGCAAAAGAAGCAGTTAGGAAACAAAATAGATTATATTCCTTTGTCTGCTGTTCAGAAAGATGTGATAGTTATTGGTGGGGGAGACACTGGTGTTGACTGCATTGGAACAGCATTGAGACAAGTAAGTAGAGGGGAGCATATGAGTTTAAATGCTGAAGAGTTAAGACAATAATTTTTTCTAAAGTATTATATAACAACAAAAGAATCTGTTAAGATGTTTGTCATGAAATAACTATATTAAGTCTGAGTATAATTTATTAGTAGTTATAGGACTTGTTTTACTCTTTTCCTTTACTATCGGTCTTTTGTTGGGTATTTAGGGTGCTAGAAGTGTAGTCACTTTTGAAATTCTTCCTCAACCTCCTCCAACACGAACTTCGTCCAATCCCTGGCCACAATGGCCAAAGGTTTTCCGTGTGGACTATGGTCATGAAGAGGTCAAAGTTAAATATGGAGAAGATCCTCGTCATTTTTGTATTGTTAGTAAGGTGTGTTTTAATACCTTTCTTAAGTAGCTGTCTAATATAATGTGGAATCAAAAATTAGTTTTTTTTCATTTTATTTTGTTTTTACCATAAAGCCACCTCTATTTACAATAACATTTTTATTTGCTTAATAATAATATCTAATGATACTACATTTTTTAATGAAAAGCTCTGAAAAATTTACTTTCACGTTAATACCAATTTACCTTTTATTATCTTAAGCTGAATTATATACAACTGTCTTTTTTAGACATTAAACTATTAATAGATACTTGTATGTAATTGTACTTCAAACATGTTAAACTATACATTTTAAATATCTCTAGGAATACCTGGATGATGGACGGGGTCATGTGGCAGGCATCAGAACTGTTAAAGTGAACTGGAAGAAAGATCCTTCAAATCGTTGGATCATGGAAGAACTTCCAGATACTCAGATGGACTTCAAGGTAGATAAAGTTTTGTACGAAATCTTCAGTTTAAACGCACTTACTCAAACAATTTTAGTAACAGACTTTTCTTAGTTTTCTCTTGAAAACAGTTAAAGGTGCCCCCCAGTGGCGCAGCAGTATGTCTTCGGACTTGCAGAGCTAGAAACTGGGTTTCGACACCCATGGTGGGCATAGCACAGATAGCCCATTGTGTAGCTTTGTGCTTAACTACAAACAACACCAACAGTTAAAGGTGTTTAACCTAGTTTTACTCTGATAGCTAAGATTAGAATTGGTTATTGGTTAGGTCATTGTAGGTTAGCATTGCATAACATACTCTGTCAGAGGGCATATTAATTAAAGCTTAGCATTAACCTTTAATACCCTCTTTTGCTTCATTTTTTTTATACTGGTGTTACTTGACCTTAATTAAATATTGTACTTTTAAAAAAACCTAGTTTATATTCTGATTATAAACTTGTTGACATTGTTAGGAGAATCACTTCAAATCTTTTGTATGGCAGCTTGAGAAATATTTCTGTTATTACTTGTAAATTTTATTGAAAGTTCTTTATTTTGCACCAAACAATCTGTGTCCAACTGTACAAATGTTGTACATGGTGCTAATACATAATTTAGCCAGTTTTCTTTTTGCTGTAACATGCCCTGCTTCTTCAAGATATAATTTTTTGATGGATGTCTTGTTTTTATATTGTGCTGACCTGGATATTCTGGAATATTTTTTTTTTCTGTTTGAAGGCTGACCTGGTTCTTCTAGCAATGGGTTTCCTCGGTCCAGAGCGGTATATTGTAGAAGAATTAGGTATCATGCAAGATTGTAGGTCGAATATAAAAACTCCACCAGGAAAATTTCATACTTCCGTTTCTAGAGTTTATGCTGCTGGAGGTAAGTGTGCATATTTTATATTAGCTATTTAGTCTCATTTGGAAGTTCAAACACTTGTTTCACTTTTCTGTTTGTTTGTGTCTATCTGTATCTATATGGTAATTCAAGATTAAACCAAGTACATAGTAACTGCAACAACTAGATTAGAGGTTTTTGTAAATGGAAAGATGGAGTGACATGAATAGGAATTTAAATTTGACAGCCATTTTATTTTTGTTTTATTTTTTTTGGGGGGGGGGGGTTATACAAGCGTGCATGCATAATCAATAAATGCAGATGTATACATAGGAATAAATAGCATTACCCTCACAAAAGTGACGGAATAAGTATGCAGTCATTGGGGTGGGGCACATGCCCCTGCTTTCCTCCCATTCTGCATGCTTCTGAAAAGACAGTGTGTGTGTGTTTTGTAGTAATGGAATAAGAGAGAATCCATGGTGTTTAACTTGAAGAAAGAATAAAAAAACTTTGTTAACTGAAGATTAAAGGTTGATCATTGAAGTGATGGATTACTGTATTGTAGTGAATTAAAAAGTAAGCTATTAAGTTAAGAATGAAATGGGAGAAAGGTAACTGTATTCAAATAAAATGTCAAAAAGAAAGAAAAGACGACTGAAAATAAACTACTAAGAGGTGAAGTAAGTAATCAAAAGTAACAGAGAACAGGATAAAATGTAGATGAAACTTGGACAGTATACATCTTCCTTCCTCTAAGACAAAACCAAATTTGTCTGAAAAAAAATGATAAAACTGTGTTCACAATTCCCATTCTTTTCATAGTTAACCAATCAGAAAATTAGATCACAAGAATATGGAAATATTTCTGCTTCATGCAACAGTTATATAGAGATGACCTCTACATACAAGATAAAGTAGGATACAGTACAACTCTACTATAAAATAGTAGCTAGTTTTTCATGATGAGACCTGTTACAGAAAGTAACCCCTGAGGCCGAATTTAGCATAATACCTCAACTTGATTTAGGAGGCTCCAAACCAGAACTTGGAAAATTTCAGTTTTATAAATATGAAATATACTACGGGAGAGTGAGATACCACACCTATACAAGTTTGAACTTAATAGTTGTGACATTTGTTTAATTCATGAATTGTTGCAAAGTGTAAGATTAATTATTATGTAGTTTTAGTTCATGTAAAAGTTGTACGTGTAGACTTTACTGTATTTTAATAACAAATACACTTTTCCTTTTGAAGAATGAATGTTTAACACTTTTGAACTTCCTATAATTTAAATTAAAGCTTAAAACATTTAGAAAAAATTTATATATTTGCATCACCAACTTGTGTCTGAAGTCAAATTCGATGACGAGGAACCCATTTTGAGACTAATAATGCTTGGAGACTGCTTGAATGTGTAATGAAGAAAAACTTTTATATAAGTTTAACATAACAGCAAATGTACCCAATGATGACAAAACTTTGTCGAAACGTTGTACATTTGCTGTTATGTTAAACTTATATA